CCCCCATTCTCCCATGCCCGGCCCCCGCATCCACCGTCCGATCCTTAACCGCGCAGGTGTTCCGGCGTTGGGACGGTCAGGCCACCCTCATCGCCAACAACATAATGGCCAAGAAGGCTATCCGCAACCAGTGGCGTTCCAGCCGCTACTTGCACCACACCATGATCGCTGTCTCGGTGGACACCCCCATGGAGAAGCTCGATCAGATGAAGAACGGAATCGCGGCCGGGTTGCGGGTGAGGGTTGGTTTTGTTTTTTATCGGTGGATGTCTTGAAAGAGAGTTGGTCGCGTCGCACGGTGATCGGTAGTACTTCCCCCCCCCCCCCCCCCCCCCCNCGCGTCGCACGGTGATCGGTAGTACTTCCCCCCCCCCTCCCCGACTCTACGATGGCTGCATGGCGGCAACGTTGTGGTAACCGCAATTAGTCGGCCCCGTCGTCGTCGTCTAGTCCAGAGCCAGCCCATCAAGAAGTAGAACGGAGAAAGATGGACAGATGCTTGGGTGACATCAGGGCCACAGAGACAACAACCAATCGCGTATTCAACACACGTGCCATCTTGGTACCTATCGTGTTCCTTACATAGGTACCTCTTGCGCTGCCCCCCTCCGTCTCACCGGCATGAAATGAACTCATGGTCCTTTCGCACCGCCGTTACCCTTGCCCTCCCGGTTACCTACACAAATGCAAACCCAGCGCGGGCGCCATTGCCACCGGCACGGCCTGGGCGGCCTGCTTCCCGACACGGTAGACTACCAGATCAAGGGGCTCACCGACGGGAACCGGCTGTCGGTCTTCGTCGTGTGCCAGCAGCGCGAGAACAGCGCCAACATGGGCCGGCGCTTCGGCAACTCGAATTTGTTCCACAAGCTGCTCGCGAGGGAGTGCAACCGCCACGGCATCAGCTACACCCTGCCCGCGCAGCCGCTCGTCGCGCAGAAGGGCGGGGAGGCGGAGGCCTTCAACATTCGGGAGGCGTTTTTGGGAGGGGAAACCGGACGCTAGGTGTGCGGGCGCCAATATGGCGGAGCAGAGGAGAGCACGGTCTGTGCGACGAAGAGAAGGAATCGGAAGAGGAGGAGAGGACGACGTACAGGAACGTGACTACGTTTGTTATGCTGGATAGCGGTGACAGCGCGAAAGTTACTGTGCTGGGCGAAGGAGTACGGTCAAAAACAGATGGTTCAGGGGGGTGCCCATAGCCGTGCATGTCGTAGTCGTTGAGGGGTGGGTGGGTGGGATAAAAAGTACTTATGTGGCGGAATAGTTCGAGAGTCCTCACATGTTGCGGCATCTCCATTAAGGGTAAGAACGATGGCTTCTCCATGTCGAAATGGATTCGTGATCATTCGTGTGAGGAAAATGCTGTGGTCTTGGGAGTGATGGCGCACACCCTAAATAGGTAGTGAGGTTTAAACTAATCGTGCGTTTCTTGGGCCAGGTAACACAGCTGTGTGTTGCGGTGACTGGTCTCATATATTTTATTCCATTTGGTACGACGGCTCTGAGACGACGGGTGGGCCAATGACAAAAATCTAGTCATATGAAATACCGGGGTAGTAAGTGCGAACCCGTACTGTGGGTGTGGGTGTGGGGAATTGTTGCTTTTATCGTAGATATCTCAGGGTTATCGAATCTGCAGCAGTACAAGTAGGCTCAAGAAAACATCCCAAAAGGGGTCCGTTGTGTGTGATGTCGTTGTCATTGCCTTTGCTGTGGTAGTGGGCGAGTCCTTGGACGACGCCGGGAACACAGGTGTTCCGTTCCAGGAGACTTTGCCATGAAGTGGGGCGAGTACTGGCGATGAAGCTGTGTTTTCGCCAGAAACAGGGCGCGTTAGGTTGCCGAAGGTGTATATGGATTTCCGGCATGTTTTGGTTTGTGTACGGAAGAACAGGATATGGTCAGCCTTGAGTTGGTAGTCTTGTGTCTTTTTCTTTGGTGTTGCGGTGTTTGATAACCGTCTTACCGTCTTGGATACTTGTCGTGTAGATCTGTGTCGAGAGGTGAGGGGCGTTTACGTCAATCGTGTGTCTGTAGTCTGGTATGTACGTACAAGTGCGTACGAGGATCCGTGAGGCTGTACGTGGTGTGTGTGTGGGGGGGTGTTCAGAGGTCGATGTCAATGTCTTGGAAGTGTTTGAAATTTTTTCTACTCGAAGTAGTAGGTCTTCTGTTTTTGCACATTTCCCAGGGTGGTAGCCTGTTGTCCTCCGAATACAGGTTGTCTTCTGTGTTTGGATGAGAGCGTGCGTTGCGCTGGCAGTTCTCTGGGAGATGAGTCGGGTTCAGCGTAAGGCTAGGAATCACTATATTGCTTGTTTGTTGGCGGTTGACGAGCTAGACACGTCATATCCAGCGCTTGCTGCGTGTTGCTTGCATTGCACGCGTGTTGCGTGGTTCTATGCCGGGGAAAGAAAGTGGAAGCTTGTTTGTTTGTTGCAGAGTGGCGGTGTGTTCTCGCAGAAGAAGTTGTAGCTTCGTCCACATGTTGTGACTGTTCGTTCCTTATGCGTTATGGCCCTACATCAGTGTAGTATTCGCGAATATGACTGTTGTTGTGCGGTACAGCAGCAGCAGTAGTCCAACATGGTGGTGTGTAGTGCACAGTTCACGCGCCACCACGTGAGTACCTATGTGTGTACTGGTCTAAGCTAGATTCCCTGTGGGGAAACCCAACACTGACCCATGTTAGGTCTTATGCTAAGTCTTAGTTGAGCACCACCAGTTAGTTTTTTTTTTTTGAGGTGGCGCGCCTATTCATGCGGTGGCTGTACTACAGCAGTACTTCGAAGCAGAGTAAGTACGTCGTCGATTTCGATGGAAAGAATGAGACGTGATGTTGGTGGTGCTGCGGTGAATTCTTGCAAGACTCCATTTGATCTTCATCTCCTCGTTTGAGTGACACGGAGCGGGCGAAGCACGCAGAAAAGAAAACGCGGTCAAGGGGGGGTGAACGGTTAGCCCCGGGTACACCTTCAACGTCTTGGATACTGAATAATACTGCCTATCAACACCCTGCAACTCTTCCTCACGACGGCTGCTCATTGTATCATTGTTGTATGTTTTTGGCGAGAGAGGGGTAGACAGATCGACGACACGGCTGAAATACGAGCACGTCGTGTCCTCACGTCCTCTCACCTCGATTGCTATTTAATGAAATGTGAAATGTGCATACCTACCGCCGCCACGGAACGATTTGAACAAAAAAACTCTTCATCGATTAAGCTCTCCAATGGCAGGCAGCAGGTACACAAGCTGGAGATCAAAACCTCGTCGTCAGGATGCACGCTAAATTTACTTGTCTACACATGCGACGGCAGCCGTGGTGCTCGAAGTATCCACGCGTATGAAGTATTGCCTAATAACTATTTCTGTACAAAAGATGGAAAAACCGTTAGGTTCACAAACAAGATGAAGACAAAGAATAAAATACTATTCCTGTTGCAATGTGAAGAGGCAAAGTGGGAAAGTAATATGACTGCTAATGCATACAGGTAGAGCGCACTGACAAGGTTACTCCTGCATCAAACCCATTCCGAGGTTATCCTGATGGAGTTATGCTAACGGGGCACATCGTTGTGTGGATCCGTGGATATCTGCACAACGAACATGAAAAGCAGCAGCAATTTTTGGTGATTCTGGAAGAGAAACCGGCCCGCAGAATTCCTCTGCGGGCATTCCTATATATATGCTTTTTGGAAGGCTTTCTGATTTCTCTGGAGCCCTAGAGACCTCTGCTGCACGCGGAGCCACAACGCATTTCGGAGAGAGGGAGAGAGAGGAAGAGAAGAGGAGCAGAGAGGAGAGGACCAACATTGAAAGGAAGAAACGAAGAAGAACGTCATGTGTAGGTGAGGCTTGTGGGCATGCCCTGCCCGTCGTGGGCGCTGCCTCTTCCTTCTTTGCTGGGACGCGCGCGGATTGCTCCCCCTATTTTTTTCGCCTCGTCCACATACCTTTTCACATAAGGGCACGATGGGCCGGCATTTGGCGCGCGGTTGTTGGTTACTGTGCGCCGTGAGTGAGCGTCCGGGGGGCGGCAATCGGATACGCGTGCGTACTTTTTCCCCTCTTGACGCGTAGTGGTTAGGGATCCAAGTGGTACAGCTTGGCCTGTGGCTGTTCGTGGACGCGGCTCCAAGGGCAAAGACGGGGAGGATCGCTACATTCTTGTCTACACTCAACAATGCTTCATTGTCGGCTTCTCAGTGGGAGAGGGAGAGGGTTTTACGGGCCGTTGTGAAAAGAGTACTGCTGAAACACGGCTGTACCCGACGTTTGACAGCATTGGTTATGCGTGAGAGCTACACGGGTTCGGGGCGGTTCATTGTTCCCTTCGCATGCTCACGTTTCGCTTTGCTGTCCTGAATCGGGAGGCGAAGAAATCTGTCTCTTCTCTCCTTTCGGCAGGTTATTTGCTCTGCTGTGCCGCACGCACTCCCGCACTCTTTTGCCTGTAACTACTCCAGTAGTTGCGCAAGAAGCAACGAACCAGCAGTCATTGTTCACCTCCGATCGTCCACGTGCTGTACCATGGGCACGAAGAGTGCGCGCCTCGCGCCTTTGAGGTTTTCTATTACACCAAAGAAGTACCTACATGTATTGCATAGCTAATCTAAATACAGCTATAGCTGCTGCCGAGGTTTTTGTTGAGTCTGTGTTGTCAGGCGTACCTCGGTCTGGTGCTAGAGCACACCTCCGTAAATATCCCACCCTATTTTTGTGCAGAGCATAACTGAAGGGAGTAAACACGCTGGCGGTGCCCCCCGTTCCCCGCAGTTCACAGCGTACAGCGTCGGGGAGGAATAGCACATTCTTATGAGACTGCTGTTGACGCTTTCGACGCTTCTCGCCCCCAACTGAAATGCCGCACGAACTTGCCGCTCTGTTTCTAATATAGTCATGGACAAAACTCCGAAGTCTCTCTTTCTGCCTCGCGCCCTTTCTTTACTGTCTCTCCCCCCCCCACGCCTCTCTCTGCCCCCCCC